CTGGATACAGCTCTGGGAGAGGGGTGCGTCTGATCAGAGCACCCATCAAAAGGACAGCAGGATACAGCTCTGGGAGAAGGGTGCGTCTCATCAGAGCACCCATCAAAAGGACAGCTGGATACAGCTCTGGGAGAGGGGTGCGTCTGATCAGGGCACCCATCAAAAGGACAGCAGGATACAGCTCTGGGAAAGGGGTGCGTCTGATCAGAGCACACAGGGGCAAACGAAGATGGAAGGAGAGAAAGTGGAACACATCCTGGCCCACCAAGCCATGAGGACGATACTCCTGCTCAGAGCAGCTAATGCACAGAAAGGATAATAGGGCGGGCCTCCCCATGAGACACGACATCCCTCACTGACCCACAGAGCTACAGGGGACAACACTGGAGGCACAGTGAGGGAACTGTGCCTAATCTGACCTCATTACACCACGCTAAGGGCATGCAACAGAGCAGCAAGGGGAGCAAAGCAATGAAGTCCCTCGGAATACCAAAAATAGACTTTGGGGCCAGGGAATGGCACCCCATCAGACTCAACTGGAAAATACTCCTAAAGGTCAACAAATAGACCTGGAACTATTTATAGACTTTTCTTTTGTTGTTGTTTTGTTCTGTCTTGTTTTTGTGCTTATTATTGTCTCTGCATGTCTATCTAGATAAGATAGGTAGGATAAACAATCTGGAGGAGAAAACAATAAGAGCGACAGTTCTGGAGGGTGGGGGCGGGCATAAGGAGGGGTGAGGAAAGGGGGCTGTCAACCAACCCAGGGACAAGGAAACAACAAGTGATCTAAAATCGATGGTGTGGAAGGTGTAGGATGCCTGGTGGGTCTTGATCTACAAGGCAATGTAGCCCAAAGGAATTACTGAAACCCAAATGAAGGCTGAGCATGATAGTGGGACAAGAGGAAAGCAAGAGGAAATAGAGGAAATAACTAGGAAGCAAAGGACATTTATAGGTCTAAATACAGGCATGTACATGTAAGTATATTTATATATAAGGATAGGGGAATAAATCTATGTACATACATTTATATGTTAAGTATTAAGGTAGCAGGCGGACATTGGGCCTCTACTCAAGTACTCCCTAGAATAAAGAACACTTTGTTTGGACAATGTAAGATATGAAAATAATAATCTATAACTTATCAAGGATTTGTAAGGGAGGGCAGGTGGGGGAGGGAGGGCGAAGAAATGGGGAGCTGATATCAGGGGCTCAGGTGGGAAGAGAATGCTTTGAAAATGATGATGGTGGCCTATGTGCAAATGTGCTTGACACACTGGATGCATGTATGAATTGTGATAAGAGATATAAGAGCAAAATGAGGAGCTGATACCCAGGGCTCCAGTAGAAAGCAAATGTTTTGAAAATGATGAAGGCAACATATGTACAAATGTGCTTGACACACTGGATGAATATATGGATTGTAATAAGAGCTGTACGACCCCCAATAAAATGATTAAAAACATAAAAAGGACAGCTGGAGCCTTCCCACTTGGACTCCTGAAGCCGGCCCACGGCAGGGGAGCTCTGTGAGTGAGGCTGGCCAGTGTGTCCACTTAACATGCCTGAGAGCCTGACCTGGTCCTTGTAAAGTATTATGCTGAGCAAAAGAAGCCAGCTGCCGAAGAGCGAGTACTAGATGATCTTGCTGACACCCACACCGTACATCCTCGAGTATGAGCCGAGGCACCCAATCTCACCACAGAAAAGTGGGGGGCTTCTTCAGCATTAAAAAATGTGCTGAAAAAACTCGGCTTGTACTCAAGTATATACGGTACGTACCTATGTAGAAAACAGAGATAATTAGTGATGACCAGTGGGTGAGGGAGGGAAGCGGAAATGGGGCACGTTTGCTTAATGGTGGTGGAGAAATTGGAAACAGACTGTGATGCTGGTTGCACAACATAAAGAGTATCCCAACGCCCCTGAGTGTGAACGTAGAAATGATTCCAACTCTGGATGGGTTTTCGTGAGTTACTTTCACCACAAGAAGCTTCAAAAGAAGTCTGGCTCCGCTTGGCTAGCGGAACGTAGCACCGTGGTGAGAATAGCTCATGCTACAGCAGACACCATGTGGTCAACAGCCCCACAGAAACCTGGACGTGGGCTGACAGGATGGCTCGGACACCAATCTGTGCTCCTCTAACTCGGAAGTCCACACATGCTACAAGGCAGGACTCATTTATTCTTCTGGTTAGGAAAAACGGAAGGAAATGAAACACATTTTCCTGTTTCAATTAATGCAAGCCTTGTTATGTGACAAGCTTAACATCTTCCTAATTAAAAAACCCACCCTGCTAACATAATGCATGTTGACAGAACATGTTAATAAAATGATCGGCTCTCTTCTCAGGGGTCCGGTGATGCTCTGAAAAACTGCTGGGTAAGATGCCTGCTTTTAGACTTCCATAGCCAGTGATCGCTACAAGTACAAAGGGAAACTACCCAATGGACAGAAGTAAGAAAATGGTAAAGTGATTATGAGTTGTTCCCAGCAATAAAGGTGTCTGATAATACCGGACAAGTGGAAAGATGTGCCAGGTTTCTGGACGGAAGAATGAAAAAGTGAGTCGGACGATGCTGGGATTGTTCGTTGTTGCCCTGCCATGGCAGCTCTAACCCATGTAATGTGCAACTAACGCCAAGCAAGCAGGATGCAAAATAGTATGTACTTAATCAGTAAGTGGCAACCGTACAAGTGAAATGCCAGCAGAGAGAGAGACTGCCAGGGAATTTGAGAAAAACCCATGTTCACTTCCTCCCTGATTTCAGAAAAAGCTTTTATTCTTGAAAGAGAAAAATCTCAACTGGCTCAGTATTCAATTTCCTTACTAAGTCATGAAAATCCCTGTACCCCCAGTGACTGTGTCTTGCTGGGCAAAGTAAGCTCAGGGGCCTTTAACTAAGGTGAGAGCAGGCCCCACCCAGGCCTGTTTCTACAGGTGCTCTGCCAGCAGGTGAGGCTGATGTGCTGCCTCACCGGGGCCGGGAATGCCCTCGCCTGGGCTCACCCCCCTCAGAAGTCAACAATGAGCACATCTCAGAGGGCAGGGCAGAGACAGCCTGAAGGGAGGCTTCCTCATCATGCCACACTGCACACGAGGTTTCCCTAGGGGCACTCATGCCTGTGCACTAGGCAGGCTCCCATGCTCCCACTTGGCTCCTTCTTACTTACGGTTGATGAAGAGTAAGAAGATACATTTCTTCACCGAGTAGTTTGCATTGGAAATATAGCCATTCATTTTGAAGGCTAGGGTCTTGTCCTCACACCCAACTTCTATTAATTCCCTGATGAGAAAAGACAACTTTTGAAAATACTGGGTAATTTAAATATTATATAAGCATCAGAGCTGGAAAATGAGGGCTCCTCCCTATAAACTAACTGTCAAATGAGAATCCCAGATACTTTCTTCATTGTGTTCTCCTGGGTTTGCCTATCCACTCACCCATCCACTCACTCACTCATTCACTCGTCCGTCCGTCCATCCATCCATCCATCCATCCATCCATCCATCCATCCATCCATCCATCCATGCCCCACCTACCCAGTCAGTGTGTTCAAGCACTGATGCTATTAGTCAAGCACCTCATTAACTCCATATAGTGGTCCCGCACTAAATCCAAGCTGTAAGGATTTGAGCTTTATTAAATAATAAATTTTATTGAGACTTGGATTATCTTAGTAACCTAAACCAAAGATAAAGTCTCAAGAACTCATCTCTCCTCAATTCTCTACGGTACTGGGTAGCAGCATGACGGGCTCGGCTGTGAGATTCCCAGTGTGTGTTTACTGGGAAGGGGAAGCAAACAGGTGAAAAGGAAGCCCTCCGCCCAACCATATGCATCCCTGCTTCAGAGCCTCCTTGAGTGCTGGTCCCTCTGCCTGGAAAGCTCTCCCTGCAAGCCACCTTCGGCTCTCCGTATCCGTCATATCACAAAGATTATACTCTCAAATAGGCTTCTCTGACTATCCCCTTCTGTGACCCCTGCGAGATTCTCCCGTTTTGTCCTATATTTTTCCACTGAAGCATCAGATACAATCTATGAATGCATGGCATAATTGATGGATCTTTCTAACTAGATGATGAGCTATTTGAGGGCAGAAATAATTTCTTCTTGTTCACAACCATATTTCCATTATACAGCAACCCTCCCCCCACCAAAGAAAAACAAGAAACAAATTAATTCCTGACAAGTCATGGCTGACTCACAGCAATCCCGGAGGAAAGAGTTGCCCTTAAGGTTTCCAATGCTGGGCATCTTGACTGAAGCAGACAGCCACATCTTTCTCCCTTACACTAGTGGGCTCACTTTGAACCAACAGCACTCTGACCACGGTGCCATGAGGACTCTGACCATACAGCACCCTGCTTAGCGAAGAGCACAGCCTCATTGTTTGCAGACTGGATGGTGGGACCTTTCCATGCACTGCTGTGTGCTATGGATCTAAGTGAAGGGCACAGCTTACAGTACCCCCTCCCCAAACACACACACATACACGGAGTCACCAGGCCTTTCTTCCCACAGCAGCTTAAGAGGTTGGCATTCGGAAAGCACGTTCTAGGGCATGCTGTTCCAAGGAATTTCTCATGTCTGAGGATTTCATCACGTCACTCTACTGCTTACTGAATTTAGTGGAAAAGGCCCTCAAGTCATGTTGCAGGGCCAAGCCCTTCTTTTGCTTTGGGGGCACAGTGAGAAAACAAAAGTAATCAATTAACACTTAGAGAAAGAAGTATAATTACAAGCAAACTGGCTGTTCCCTAATTAGATATGCTTTTGCTTAAGAATTAATACTATGTCCTTCAAAGCATTAGTTGGATTCTCAGACTTTGGCTCTGAGGTTAAAGAGTTTTGGGAAATGGCAGTGCTATAGGAGGACAAAATTCTCGCAGACTAGAAATATTTTGAGGACAACACACACTAACGTACGGCCCCCAGTGCTTCTAAGAGATAACATGCACCTGGATCACAGGTCTCAATCAGGAGGTGTTGATTGTATAGGCTAAAGACCCCATTAACAAGCATGACACATGACAATAAGCCTGCCTACAGGATTAAAGCAAACTCTTGAGACAGGTACTATCTTGACAGATTCCAATAATACAATGAAGTGGGAAATTGAGAAATGGAATGCAAAGAATTTTTTATAAACGTACCGACTAACGGCATTTCCAAAGATGGAGCGAATGTTGTCCACGGTTGTGGCGTTGGACAGTGTTCTGACGTCAGCCACTGTCTCACCTTGCTGATGAACAGAGAGAGAAGATACTATAGTTTCTAATCGCATAGTTGTGACCAGCATATTATAACCTTATCTCCACTGACAAACTATAACAATGCCCTCACTTTTAACATATTTTGCTGTGAATTGAGTGATGAATTACAGATCAATTTTCCATTCAACAATACGCACACATTTTGTTTCATTTCATTGGTTGCAGTCCCACAATGTAACATCACTCTTCCCACATCCTCCCACTATTACCCTTTCTAGTCCTTCTCCTTTCCTACCCCTCCTGCCTTCTGAACTGTGGCCTGGAGTCCATGCTGCTCTTTACATCTCAAATGGTTGATTCTAAGAAGCGTCTACCTCACCAGGAGCCCTGGTGGTGTTATGGGCTACTCATTGTGCTGCTAACCCTGAGGTTAGCAGTTTAAAAAAGATTTCGTCTCAGGAATCCCTGGGGGTAGTTCTGCTCTGCCTACAGGCTGCCAAGAGTTGGAATCCACCAGGCTGTGCATTTGGTTTTGGTCCCGCACTAGGGTTATTGTTCCTTTTATAGACCTCCTATTGTTTGGCTGAAAATGGACCAGTGGAGCTGATGCCAGGGGCTTGGGTGGAGAGTGGATGTTTTGAGAATGATGAGGGCAATGAATGTACATATGTGCTTTACACAATTGATGTATGGATTGTGATAAGAGTTGTAGGAGCTCCTAATAAAACGACTAAAAATTAAAAAAAAAAAAAAAAGGATGGGTGACTAAGGGCCATAATCTCGGGGTCCTGGCAGGCTCCATCTGACTAGTTAAGTCTGGCCTCTTTTAAGATTTTGAGTTTTTCCCATTTTTCTCCCACTTTATCCAAGACCTTCCAACCCTTTCAGAGCAGTCAGTTGTGGTCATGAGGTGCCATCTCGTTGCATACGTCTCATATGCAGGTGGAGGTTCCTGTAGTTCATCAATCCACTGTACTCACTGTTTCCAAGCGTCTTCAATTTTCTTTTTTTTTTTAAACATTTTATTAGGGGCTCATACAACTGTTATCACAATCCATACACACATCAATTGTGTAAAGCGCATTTGTACATCATTCTCAAAACATTTTCTCTCCACTTAAACCCCCGACATTAGGTCCTCATTTTTTTTTCCTCCCTCCCCGCTCCCCCCTCCCTCATGAGCCCTTGATAGTTTATAAATGGGTATTTTGTCATATCGTCTTTACTCTTCTTTGCTCCAGGTGGATAGAGGTCAATAGTTGCCCCTCAGATGGTCGCTAAGATCTTTTGAGACCCCAATTGCTACTAAGTAGGCTATAAGGCCTTGTGGCAGACTGTGCCAATTGACCTTGGTCTCCCCCAGACCCAGTGAGCCATCCCCTCAAGGTGGCTGGTTATGACTAAGAAGGTTGACCCCTGTATGCTCTGCTACCTTCGTGGATATACTTGCAGCAAAGGTAAAGACATACGTAGAAATAGCCTTTCAAGTGGACATCTATTTGGGGGTACAGCTCATTCTCCTTCTCACACCTGTTCAGCTTGCATCTGCTCACAGACTAGTATTGCATGATTGTGTATCTAGCCGTCCGTGCTGCTGTTGCTTTTAACTCCTGCCCTCCTCCCAGTGTCTTCCCTCACCTTCAACCTTTTCGAAGGCCCCGCATGTTGTATAGTGCCTTTCCCTTCACCCGAGGTAACACTTGCCTACTCTCCTCTCCTCCCCCTCCCGATACTCATGTTTCTTTTTTGAGTGAAAGCATTTTCTTGGCGGACTTATTTCACTCAGAAAAATGTCCTTCAGGCTCATCCCCATTAGGAGGAGTGACGCGGCTTCGTGGTTCTGCTTTCCCACCGTGTCGTATGTCATCAGGTAAGCGTGCCAACATGGCCTTCTTTAACCCACTCTGCGTTCACCATGCATGACCATCGCCTCAAAACCAAGAACTTACTTTTTTAACTGAGAAACTAATGCCTGAATTGTGTATTGAATACCTGGATGAGGGGGGAAAAAAACAACAAAACAGTAAGTCAAGACTGACCCAATGAATAACACACGGCCGCCCCTTTTCAGTTCAATACGTACAAAATAGATACAAAGAAAAGTGTCTCTCCATGGGAGGGGAAGTCAAACAAAAACATCAAAATTTCAAACTATTGTTTCTGGACCTAGCCTCCATCTAGGGCGATACACTTTTAAGGGAGTGTCCCCATCTCTTTATGCATTCTCCCAGGAATTCTACACTCTTTGATTTACACCATATCAAATGCTAGCTTTGGCATCCTCAAGAGACTCAGATGACATTCCTTTCCAACATTCTTTGAGTTTGGGAACAGAAGAAGTCAGAAAGGGCAAGATCAGGGAAGTGGGGTGGATAGGATAAGGTTTTCCAACGCAGTTCTCATAGACTGAGCCCTTTTTTTGGAGGAGGGGAGGCACCCTAATGAGACTAAGACAAGTGTATTACTGAGAGAGCATGTCTGCAGCCATTGACGATTGCAGAGACATGTCTAAATACATTCTGTTTGGTATAAACAGCAAACCTTTTAGACAGCCTCATCATATTTCACACAAAGGAAAAGGACTAGTAGAGACATCATGGAGATAATGATGCTAAATGTGACTTAATCACACACAAAAAATTGGGTTCTCTTGCTTTTATGGATTGCCAATTAAATTACTTACCCATCTGGCTTGTCTCATACACGAGGTTCTCAAGAACCTCAATTAACCCACCCCTCTTCTACTCTCTCTGAGAGGCCTCAGTAGACTCCCTACCCCCAACAACTCCTCCACCCAGAAGTCCTGTTCTGGCCATCTCCAAGGCTTTTCTTGGCTGATCACTATTTATAATTCCTCCTATGGGGACCCCATGAACTCCAGGATGATGTGTAGCCAAATACATTTATTCACTAAATAATATTTTCTGTTATTACACCTAGAAGCTGAGCACTCGACCAGAACTCCTTACTTTCAGGAGACAATGAATATTCCCCACTGACTTATACAATCCAGTGCAAAGTAAAGAAACTTGCCGGCTCAACCTGGGCCATGTTATTATAGGCAAATGCTTGATTCACATTAGCTCTCTTGGAAATAAGGAAAAGCAGGCAGCACATCCTATTATAATTCAAGGGCCACCACAGTGGGGCCACTGTCCTAGTAGATTATGTTTTTCATGAATGTAATGTTTCACCTATCCTGAATCTCTTCCCTGTTGATCAGTGACTCTTCCCTGGGAAAATGACCTTGCTCCCATTCCGACTGATGCCCTTTAGTAAAACTAATGATCAATAAGTTTCTTCCCACAGAAGTGGGCCCAAAATTATGGGGCCCTGGCTATGCTAACCGGATGCAGGAAACAGATCCTCGAACAGAGGGAGAGAGAGTATGTGTGTGTTGGGGGTAGTACACAAACAAAAAACAGAATAATAACTGGAGCAGGGTCAGTACATTAAATCCCTGTCACCACTCTGGTTCCTATATTTTCCAAGAAGCTGTTCACACCTTCACACCTCTTTCCACTTAAGGGAATGACTCTTAACTTTCCAATAAATTCCTTTTAGATTCAAGTGAGTTAGAGTCCGTTTGTTTGACTTGCCCAGAGAACTCTCCCTGATAAAAAAGACCAATGACTCTTCCCTTGGAGAAGAAAGTCCAGAATTATTATCTAATCTTGACCATAAATAATCAATAGCTTTCCTACTGTCATTCCCACCTAACTCAGAAAATACCTCAATTCACCAAGCACTGGAACACGTTCCTTTGGTGAGAGGTTTCAGAGACCCACTCCCAGAGTTCAGACTGTACCTGCCAACAACTTCCAAAATTTTTCCATACTCTTCACTTGGATTTTTTAAAGCTTTTCTCCTCGTGGCGATATTATAAAAAAGGTCCTCCACCTAAACATAAGATCATATATAAATATATATTTTGTAAATTCACAGAAGTGTATGGGAGTAAAGACCTGAACTGTCCCACCTACAGCTGGATCTGAAGGCACTCAAAGAATCCAATTATATTTAGTCAGAGAATACAATGTGGTTGGTTTCTTTTGCCCCTAGTAGTATTTATTTTTAAAATTTATCAGTTTTCTGATCAACAATTTGTACACATTTTTAAAGATTTCATTCATTGCAATCCTTTCCACATAACATCACGGATCCCACATTTCTCCTCCCTTTTCTTTCCCACAGCTTCGGAACTTTGTCCTTGGCCACATGCTGCCCTTTAAGCTTCACCGGGTGTTATCCTAAGAAGGGCACACTTCCTTCATGTTTCTGTGCCCCTTACAGACCCATCTGTTGTTTGACTGAAGTGTAAGCCACAGGGGTGAGTTCTATTTCAGTTCTAAGCACTCATAGGGGAGGGAACAACAGGTGTGGCAGCTTTAACAAAGGAACTAAAGAATATTGTGCTTGCTTACAACAACCATTCAATGCATTCCCTAAATCATTTCAGCGGGCTCTCTCGGTATCAGACCCTTACAAATGATGAGGGCGGAGACAGACTGCCATGCCTCAAACGCTAAAAAGCAGTTCTTTGGCTTCTAAGGTGACATCTTGGAGCTTCTATTACCCTCTTAAGACTCATTTTAAGAATTAGTAGCCTAAAAGCTCAGAGATGATTGTACTTTTCATTTCAATATCTACACATGCTCATTTTTCAAGACTAACTCTCATGTCCCATTCTTACCATGATCTGGGTCCCCTGATTGCCCGCACATGGCTTAGGAGGCGCTTTCAGCTTTCCATCTGAGTAACTTGCTCTAACCAAAAATTAGGAGAAATGGTTCATACAAAATAGAAACATCAATAGGTGCATATGCAAATGGCAAGACAGAAATACCAACAACATATTCAAATACAGACATGTTCTGTTCTGTCGTGATTACTTACCATTTTGACCTTTATTTGTCAAGTAATGCCCTGATTTTATACAAAGAAACAAAGCAAAAACTTTGTTTATTACTGTTAACAAATAATACTTTTTGATTCCTGAGTTCTGAGCCACCAAATAATGGTCTTGCCATTGTTTAAGATAACATTTAAAAAAATTGTTTGTTTGTTTTCAGTATTTTTGCAGCTATGTACTGAGGGGCTACCATGACTCAGGCTGTGGAGACGCTGGTGATAAAGACAGACCTTGGTAAGCTCTTGCCCTAGTGAGGAGACCGACTGTCTGCCACAGTCTAGTAAAGCAACGTGCTAAGTCATCAAGAACAGGTAATCCGCAGGTGGGGTGGGTGAAAGCTGGATTCTTCGGGTCTTTAAGGAAGAATCGTTTCAGCTGGGGAAAGCAGGAAAGCGCACCCAAGCAGAGAGCCTCTAGAATACATGGTGCCCTGATGTAGGAAGAGAGCGGCTGGAAAGTGGGCCTGAGAGCACCTTGGGAGGCACTGCACACCATGAGGCTGACTCTGGCTTTCATCCTGCTGAGGGGGAAAGGAGCTACCCAAGGTCCCAAGTGAGGGTACAATTTGCCCCAGGTAAAGAAATTGACCTTGTATCCCAGGCTATGGAGGAAGATGTTAATGCCTCCCAAGCTGTGAAAGAATAAAGTCTGTTGTTTTATACCACCCAATGTGTGGTCATTTGTTACAGCAGCCACAATAAGCTGATACAAGGCGTATGAAGAGATCCATGTGATTATATTGACACAAGAATCTACACAGGTGATAAAATGACAGAGAATTATCGACATATATTATACCACTATCGATTTTCTTCTTATGACATTATAGCATAATTATGTAAAATATTATTTCCCTTTGGAGGAAACTGGGTAATGAGTACACAGGTCCTCTCTTTTGCAAGTTCTTGTGAATCTATATTTACTTCAATGTAAAAACTTAAAATTAAGTGTATACCATATATACGTGTGTAAGCCAAGTTTTTTTAGCACAGTCTTTATGCAGTTTTTGTGGTAGCCTCAGCTGATATTCGGGTCGGCTTATACTTGAGTATGTATGGTAGATTAAAAAAAAAAAGTTAACTCAACTGTCTCCTCCCTAGGCTGTGAGATGAGATTCTTATACACCAGCCATTATAATTCACAGAGTCAAATCCCTGCCCTCACTAGTACTGCATACTTGGAAATGCTCCACCTCCTATACATTCGCACTTCTGCTCAAGAAGCCCTGGAAACAGGTAGGACTGTCCTTTGTTGAAGTAGCTTTGTCTTTAATTTTATGAACACCTTGTATGATTAGAAAATACATTTTCCATTTTGGGCATAACTTTAAATGTTCCTGGATAAGGTTTATATAAATAAAGTAGCAATTTGATACCTTGTTTTTGTTCTAAGGCCCAGCTGATCAGCCAGCAGTCCCCTTTAGAAGGCAGACCAGCACAGGCATGCTCACGGGGCAGGGATCTAGGGGCTCAGGAGCCACGGAGGCACCATCTGTCCCCGGCACCACAGCCCCAAGGCCTGTAATTGTTAGAAAGCAGCACCTTGGTGAAGGGCAAACAGGCAAAAAATACCAACAGCCGCTCCTGTTTACTTACAACCCTCCAGTGTAGCAGACAACTGGTGAGGCACTTACCATATGCGCAAAGTTACCTCTTAAAACCTGAGTTAGTTAATTGTGCCAGCCTGGCCGATAATCACATGTGGGGCTAATTGAAAGGCGGAGGGATAAATGGGTGGTGAGCCTCGCCTTTCTAGTTCTCAGGTCTCTTGCTTTGTGATGGTCGCACCAGGGTGCAGCTGCCTTAGCAACTCCCTGCTTCAGCTTGCAAGATTGACTTGCTACAAGACATCCCCAAGGAGAAGCCGCATGGACCTATCCTGATGCAGCCCTGGGTGCTGGAGCAGCCATGTGGAGACCCCTGCTAGTGCTGAGATGCTTATTCGTTTACTGACTCAGCTTTCCTCTTGCAGTTGACATCATTGCCTCTGTTTTGTGAGGTGGAGGACTTTGCGGACTGGTGTTGGGTTAATGGGTTAATGTTGGACTTGTGGGCTTGGGCAGCATTGGGTTGGGATGTTTTCGTGATGCACACTTTCTTTACATAAAACTCTTATATATGAGTTGCTGTGGATTTGTTTCTCTAAAGTACCTAGACTAATACAAAACCCCATGAAGCAAGACTATCACCTAATCCTCATCCTTGTGGATGGTCTACTGATCCTCATGGAGGGAGAAAATTTATCCACAATCTCAGCCCCTAAAGATCAAATTGATGTTTTGACAAGGTTACCATGAGATCCAGTCCAGAAGCACATTTCAGAATGAACTACCTAAGAATGCAAAGGTTGGCACAATACCTGTATGCACACTTTCCATCAGCTGTTTTGGTTGTAATAGTAACGTGAGCCACATGGCTGATGCTGGCCAGAGCCTAAAGTGGGGAGGAGGACAAAGAACTCATTGGCTTAAAAGAACTCATTGGTAGGCCAGCCACCGCCACCTTATCCCAACAATAAAGTTATCTGCATCATCTTTAACGTTGCGTTAACACGGGGCAACAATGAGCACTTTGCTTGCTCCATTTATGACATGTGCTTCTCTCTTTTTGGGTCTTCCTTTATCATAAAGGCCAGTTTGAGCAAGTCCCACAACCGTCTCAAGGCTAAACATGTGTCCCCAGTCTGGTCCAAGAGAAAGAATGAATGAGTGTGTGCAGCTCAAATGTAGGCTGTTGCTTTACACAACACATGGTGCACAGTTTAAGTGATGTAGGTATACGTGTGACCCAAGTCATGGTATTTTGGATCACTTCATATGCATGTGAATGCTGGACAACAAATAAAGGCAATCACAGAAGACTTGATGCGTTTGAGTTAAGGTGCTGGTAAACAATACTGAAAGTACTGTGGATGCCAGAGCAAAAAAAAAAAAGCTTTTTGTTAGGAAAAAGAACAATGCCGTCAAGGAGAGTATTTTACACATGCATCGATCCTCCCTTACCTCACCCCGAAAGCCATAAGTAGCAATAGAGGCTAAATCGTCAAAGGACTGCAGTTTACTTGTGGTGAACCTCTCACACACAATGTCCAAATCTTCTTTCTAGAAGGTTGGGGAAAAAAAGCAAAACCCAGTACTAATAAAAGTTACATTACTCATTCTTCCATATCTTGGTCAATTTCCCTTGTCTTGATTTAACTCAAGAAGAAATTCCTGTTGGATGCAGGGGGAAGCAGCAGCTTCCTCAGGTGGTATCCAGAGTCGATCAGATGCCATTTGGTGGTCTTATACGATGATTTGTAGGTGGTTGTGCATGTCCATCAAGAGAAACCCACTGTTCAGGCTCCTTCCTTTCTCACTGGGCTGCTCCTTTTCAGCTGAAAGCCAGTATTTCCTGCCCCATCTCCCCCACCTCCAACACTGGAGTAACTCACGATTCCATCCTGGGACCTCTTCTCTAGTTACACTGCCTCCTTGAAAGATCTTAAGCAATCTCAGGGCTTTTCCAACCAAACCCACTGCCATCGAGTCCGTTCTGAATCAGTGATCCTACAGGACAGAGTAGAACTGCCTCTGGGTTTCTGAGACTGCAACACTTCACGAGAGGAGAAAGCCTCATCTTTCTTATGCAGAGCAGCTGGTCATTTCTTTGGGTTGATTTTTATTTAATCCCCCAACAGTTGTATTAGCAGTTAATCTACCTATCATACAATTCAATAGTTCAATCATCCAATCATATCAAGGAGAATTATACAATCAATACCACAATCCATTTTAGAACACCCCCCCCATCCCAATGGTTAAATTGCCTTTAAAATGAGTTGTGCAATCACAATCAGTCCTAGTGCTCCCTCCCCGCTCCCATCTTCATTGTATACTCCCAAAATCTCCTTTCCCTCCCCATCATTCACCCCGCACTGCTACATCCCCTATCAACCCTTGTATCAGTATCACTATGCATCCACTCCTCCTGTGCCTCACAAACTGTGAAGCCCAACAGAAACAATAAAAATAAAGTAGTAATAATATAAAGATAAAAATACAAATAATGAGTAAGAAAGAAAAGACCTGGATCGATATTTAAAAAGCCAGGGAAGAAATGTTTGTCATGGAACAAGTAAGAGATACTTGCACCTAGAACACATTCAGGCTAGGTCTATGGGAGGTCAACTGGCCGAGTACCAAGTTTGATCTGGAAGCTGATAGTTTCTAACGCAGATACCACTCTGCCACCAGGGCTCCTCTCATGGTGGAACCTGTTTACCACCATCAACATGCAGACAACCGCCACATTTTTACCTCAGACTCAGACCGCTATCCAACACACCAGACTTACACATTCATCCAGCTGGAAGGCAACATAAATTTAACAGGACTCAAATGTACTCAGACATTTAATAGGACCCTTACTCACCCCTGCCTTCTGCACCTCAGCTAATGACAACTCTTTCTTCTTTTTGCTCTGACCCAACCAGAAAGCATTCTTGCCTTCCTGTTCTCTCTTTCATGGACTGAATTGTCTGCCATCAAAAATATGAGCTGGAGTCCTGATGGTACACCTGGGGATGCCATCCTGCTTGGAAGGAGGGCTGTTATGAAAATGAGGCCATACCAGTTTAGGATGTGACCTAAACCTAATTACTTTTGAGTTACAGAGAACGGATTAGACAGAGACAAGCCGGCACTATAGAAGCACATGTGAGAACCACCAAGAACCAGGAATGCGGGGGATGTAGAAGCTAAGACAGGAACTTCCCTCAGAGACCTGCAAGTGCATCTTCCCCGAGAACTTTTGAACTGGCCTCCTAAGCAGTGAGAAAATGCATTTCTTTTCTCTGTAGGTCCCTCCCTTGTGGTATTTCTGTTAGAGCAGCATTAGGAAATGAAGGTGCCCTTATATGCAACATCAGCACATTCTTTGAGCTCTGTCTTGACAGTCAACCCCAAGTCTCCTAATTCTTGCATCTCTACTCCAGCTAAAGGCTTCAAGGACCATAAGCCCCTCTCCTGGATTGTGCAGAAGCCTCCTCACTGCTTCTGCCCTCCCCATCTGCTTAATTTCTACATAGCAGACAACGTGGTTCCTGTACAATCCATCACACCATGTCACGTCTTTGTTCAACACCCTCCAGTTAGAGTAAACAGGAAAGGTTTTCTAATGGCTCACAAGGTCCTTACCCCTAGGCATTCATCTCCTGTTACTCTTCCCCTTCCTCCACCTGCTTCAGGCACATTTTTTCAATAGCCCAAGGGCCCATTCTTTGCCTTCATCAGGCCTGTCTTCAAATGTCACATCCATTGGTAGCCTTTCCTGAACCATCCCATCCAAAGTGTGGCCCTTTCCACTCCCTATTCCCCTCTCTGCTTGTTTAGCACTTAATACCATCTGATATGCTATTTAGTGTAATATCCAAACGGGTGGCAGTTCAAAACCACCCAGTGGTGTCATAGGAGAAAGACCTGGCAGTGATCTGCTTCCATCAAAATAACAGCCTAGCAAAACCTATGAGGCTGTTCTACTCTGTCACCAAGGGTCACTGTGAATTGAAGATCTTCAAATTCAACTCTATGGTCCCTAACAACACCAACTTATAGGTTTGTCTCCCACCTCCAGAATGCAAGCATGAAATGAAGAAAGATTTGTACTTACCCTGATCCCAGTGCCGTTGTCTTGGATCTGAATCAACTTCAGGCCTCCCTCTTTAACAATCACTTGGATACTTGTGGACTTTGCATCTAAGCTGGCAAACGGAACAGAAAATAATCAATCTGCAAATACTCCAATGCACCAAATTACATATGAACCCAAAGATACTGAGCCAAGAGATAATAATAAAGAGTGTCTAGAAAAAAATGTGCTTTTTCTTCATTTTACAGGCTCAGCCAGGCCCTGTATGAGTTTAGGTCAGACAGGGAGGTAGAGGGGAGCAAACGTCATTTCTAACAGCAGCAGCATGATTTCTCTTCCTTTCAGCGAGCAGTTAGAAGTAGCATCCTTTTAATATATGTATCTTTCTCAGACCTTTTCCTCAATTAATGTCCCTATCTGTTGCTTCAATTTTATTTAACCTCATTCCTAATAAGATGTCATAGGACTGTAATTTAAATGCATGTCGCTATTTTCTTAAGAAAATACATTGAGGTCTTTGAAAAGTACATGGAACAATTTCATCATCTTTTCATCCTATTATTTATTTATATTAGAAAGTCCTGTACATTGGCCAAAAAAAGAACAGTGGCCATGCAGAAAGTTCTTTAAAAACAATCCATCTTTTCTGCTATGAACTTTTCAAAGCCCCTTCAGATACTTGCTTAGAGAATGTATTTTAAATTATGTTTTTATGACGTCTTATGAGGGACAAGGCAAAATGAAATTAGAGTAATAGACTGGGAAATTACTTGAGAAGAAGGTAAGAAAAAAGGCATGCGTTAAAAAGACCCTGCTTCTAACTTCATTTGCTCACCTAACAGATGAGAAGCAGTGCTAACGTCCTGTTGGAAATGAGTGGGAACCTCGATGGCATAGTGGATTCTGAGTTTAAACCCACCAGCTGCTCAGTGTGAGCAAGACGAGGCTTTCTGCTCCTGTAAAGATTTATATGCCCCGAAACCTAAAGGGCAGTTTGAGTCTGTCCTGTAGAGTTAATATGAGTCAGAATCAATTTAATGAGTTTGGAGATTTGGGGGTGAGGGGTTTGGTCTTTTCAGAGTAGCGTACAAACATAGAGAACCTGTCAGAGATGTGAATCCAGCCTGGGACCACACAAAAGAAGCTGTATACTCCCCACACAGAAAATGTTTTATTCAGAGATAGCATAGTAAGTTAAACATTAAAGACTGCTCTCTGGAGTCCCTTACTGACTCACTGCCATCGATTGGCTGTTAACTCATGGCGGCCCTGTACTCTTTTTTTTTTTCTTTTTCTTCTTATTTTCTCTTTTAATTCATTTCCCCTTGTATATATTTGTGGCTACTAACTAAAAACACTAGTACAGGTTTAAATAGCCTTCACAATCGTCATCAAACCTGTTCTATTTTTTTTT